CAGGAAACATAACACTCTGAGCTATCCCTTGTAGCTTGGAAGGAGCTGCTCTCCAGGAGGAGGCCAAGCTGTCTGCCCCAGGGCTGGTTCTCTGGCCCAGGGCTGCCTTCAGGTTGTTGCTTGTTCAAGGCTGTTGCGTTGATGGCTTGATCTCCCTCTCTTACCTCTCAGTTGGTCCTGGTCAGCCACATCGCACTGGATAAATAGAGTCTTCTGAGATTCGAACTGCTCATCCAGGGCAGCTTTACACTTCATACCTGCTTCAAGATTCCAATCTACCAGCGCTACCTACAGACAGAGGACAGGAGCCCAGGTACTGCGCAGCTCGTGAAACACACACACAGTAAATAAAACAGCAAGATGCTCCTTTTCGGGACCTGACATTCTGCAACTAAAGTTGGGTTTCTCTCCCAGCCGCCTTCGAGGTCTGCTCGAGACCATCGGCCTCATCAGCTTTTCGAAGTAGCAAGGTGGGCGCTTGAGATGCAACCTCCCTATCTCCCCGGGAGCCCCTTGGCTTGTTGTGGGAAGTGGGGAGCGAGTCTCGGAGTGAGCAGACAAGTTTCTGCGGCACGGTGCCGCTCTTACCTTGGCGCCTTTGTGCAGCAGCGCCTCTGCAATGGCTCTGCCAATGCCCTGCGCCGCGCCGGTCACCAGCGCCACTTTGCCGTTCACGTGCATGGTGTGGCCGCTGCTCGGGCAGTGGGCGAGCTCCGCGTCTCCGCGCCGCCGCGGCTTTTATGGTCCCGGCGCGCGCGTGCACCCCCGCCCGGCGCTCTGCTGCGAGTGGGCGGGGATGAAGCTGTCAAGCCAACGCCGGGGGACCCTGGACTGTGTCACCTAGCCCCGAGCGCTCGCAAGCGCCAAGCTGCGCGGTTTGCCTTCCTGACTCAAAGCCGATCCCTGGTCACCGCCTCCCCCGAAGCTTTGGCTGCGTTACCGGCGCTGAGCAGACAAGAGAAGCAGAAATGTTATTTCTAAAAAAGATTGCTCTTCAGTGTGCTGGAGACCACCCCATAAAAGGAAGGCAGAGGAGAGGCTTGAAAGCTTGGTTTCCACCTCCTGCTCCCAGGTCCTCCGCTGCCTCGCACCCCTCCCCCTACCCCAACAAAAGCAAAAACAAAAACAAACGAAGCAACATTATAGGGATGTTGCTCTTTTGTCTCAATCTACTGTTATTGTCCGAATTCCAATCTCACGGCCACTGAGGTGGGGAAGGGGGCAGAGGCAACTAACACGACTGTTTTTTGATCGTTTGTGTGTTTATTTTTTTCACTTTGTTGTGTTTTTGACAAACTTCTACAGATTTTGGAGATGAGAAGTGAACTGTGCTCTGGCCCGAAACCCCTGAGTCGTATCATTTCAAAGCTGGGGCTTTGGGAAGCGTTTTGGCATTTCGGTTTCAGATCAGTATGGATGGCGTTTCACCTTCAGGGTGCTCCGCAAGAACTGTGGTCATTTACTTGCACAGGACTTCCAGCTCGCTATTAGCCTAGTGAATTGTTGCCTGGATGGAATGCTTACTCGTTGAATCATACCAGATTTGGAGGCTCGGAATTAAGCATGGGACCGAGGTTCCCTGCCCTCCAGGAACTTGAGTGTGTGCCGAGCTGTGTGCCGAGATGCGGTTAGCCAGGGTTATTTTGCTGATCTAGTCATTTCCCCCCCCCCCCTTTTTCGTGTTATCATTCGCAGGCCCCATTTCTTTTCTTTCTTTCTTTTTTTTTTTTTTGGAAGCTCAATAACCCCTGTTAGCATTTGTTTTCATGAACAAAAGAATCTAAGCACTGGAAGAGATAACCTTTGTGTGCTTCCTTGCTGCTTACAGGAGTCACCAGGAAGGTGATTGGCTCAGCAGGGGGGACCGGCCTGGGGAGCCTGTGTAAGATAAATATTGTCAGTAAGCTACCGAAGCAGGTCTCCAAAGTAGATTTGAAATTGGATATTGAAAGAGAAACTAAGACAAGGAGAGAAGATTTATATTCTGTGATGATCATTAAAATTGTAATGTGAAGAGTAAGTTGAGGGATCATATTGAAAGAGAACAGCAGAGAACAAAAAGAAAAAAAAAAAAAGAGGAAACAAAAACCCAACACAGGACATCGAAGAAAAGGAACAGCTTCTTCATCAGGAAAGAACAAAAGAGACAAAAGGAACCACTGGAGTGACACAGGAACCTGTTGGGGATGCAAAACGTTACATGCAGCACATGTGGGGAAAAAATAGATCCAGGATGAAAGCAGTGGTAAATGATGCAAAGTACTCTGATGAGCACAAGGAAAAGAAGGATGGAAAAAAGAAATACTTTGAATTTTTCAGGACAATAAATAGTGTGACTGAATTTAGAAGGCACAGTAAATATTAGTTCTAACTAATTATTCTGAAGTATTAATAAATAATACATGTGCAAAAGAGAAAGATGTGAGAAACAGTTTGTGTGTTTGTTTTTAGCATATAACAAAGACTGGAATCAAAGGCGTAATTTGTACCTCTTAATCCTTTTCTTTGTTCTCAATTTCCACTGCCATGGCCTTCATTCAGACCCTTATACTTTTTCCTGTGTAACGAGGGCAGTTAGCCTTCTGATTTACTTCTGTGCACCTAAATTTCTTAAATCCAATTCAATCTCCACAATCCAAGTCCTCCCACTAAAAGTCCTAAAACAGATCTGATCATGTTTAAAATCTTTAAAATATTTAAACTCCAGGGCATTGACTAGGCAACATTCCATGCCCGATAACCTTGTCATAGCCCCTCTGAATGTCTTCAAGGAGAGCTATGTCTTTATCTTTGGATGTCTCCAGCATCCAGCACAAGGCTACCCAAGGTATGTGTTCGTACAGATAATTATGAGGTATGTGTTAGGAGAAGTTGAAAACTTTGAACTCAATGGTGAGATGTCTCATATAGCATGATTACCTTAATGTGACTTTAAAATAATATTGGAAAAACACGCTGGTATGATATTTTTGAAGAGGAATGTTTTGATATTTAACATTTTACATTAAATGTACATAGCGACTTAAAAATGTCTACAGGACATTATGTATAGTATATTCTAAAATCAAAAAACACTCGACCCAGTAAACACATCCCCTCCCATACTGCGTGTTTTGATATACATTTCTCAGCTTCTATGTTCATAGTATTATTCGGTTTCATTTGCATTAGCTATATATATATCTATCATTATGATTTGTGTCATTAAAAATGTGATTCTTAGCTAAAACTAAGTGAAATCTGAAAAAAACTATCACTTATGTAATTTTGTGAAAGCGTTCCTGTTTACAGGTTCTATTTTATTTAGTTGTTTAAAGTTCTTTCAAAATGAAAACAAAAATACAAAATTAAGTAACAAATAAAAAGGGATAATTTTTTTCTTTCATGCAATTACAAGTACTGGATAGAAAAAAATGATTTGCTCAGAGGCAGACATCCCGTAAAGGTTACAAGCGGAAGCAGACCGCTCGGGTTGCAGTCTAGCTCCACAGCACCAGGCTATGTGACCTCGGGCAAATTATTTAGCTTCTCTGAATCTCGGTTTCTTCATCAGTAAAATGAAGATGATAATAGTACACATTTAAAAAGTTGTTATGAACACTGTACTGAGTCAAATAAATATGTCAAATGCTTCGACCAGTGACTGGCACATTGCACATAGCAAGTGTTATGTAAATGCTGTTATCACTAAGCACTATACATATATAATTGCATTTATTATTTACAACCAAACTGTGAGTTAGTTATTATTGTAGTCATTTTACAGATTAGGCAAACAGGTTTGGAGAGGTTAGGGAACTGGGCCTAGGTCACTTATCTAGAATGTTGAAGGAGTGGCTTAAGGAGTGGCTGACTCCTGAGTGGCACATTTTTTAAAACATATTTTGAGACCATTGTAGCTGAGCAGTACTTTCAGCCGTGATGGAATGGTGATTTCTTTAAGAACTACAAATTAAAAATAGACTTAAATTCAAATCAGAATTTCTTGATCAAATATACGTTATCACACACAGCAGTCTTAGTAGACTCAGTTCTGACCTGCTAAGACAGACCACTCTTAACTCGATTTACCTTCATCCTGTGCCCAGGAATGAGCAGACGCCCCATGATGCACCAAGACACAGGCCCCAGCTCACACAGAGACAGATCAGTTATCTAATTAGTATAAGCTACAACAGAGAAGCTGACTATTCTTGTATATCTACTGCGTTCTTGTTCCTTTCGTGTAATGATATTTTACTAACCCTGAAAGGTAAACATTATTGTTATTCCTGTTATTACAGATGAAGAAAGTGAGGCTTATGGAAGACAAGTGACCTGTCCCAATACTTTGACACTCTGAATTTGAGCAACAATCCTGGGTTCAAAACCACGTCATGTGGCTCCAAAGCCTTTCTTGTTTGCAACACACTCAGCCGTCACTCTGAATTTTAGCAACAAACCAGGGTTCAAAACCATGTCATGTGGCTCCAAAGTCTTTCCTGTTTCCACCACACTCAGCTGTCTTAGACAGATATATGTTCAAATGCAGTCACTTCCTCTTTGCTAATTGTATGATCTTAGTCTGATTAATCAATCTCTGAGGTCCTAAGTTTCCTGCACTGTTAGGTGGAGAATAAATTGACATTCTGTGAAGCACCCAGTATAGTGCCTGGCACATATTTGGTGATTGAGAAATTATTATTATTGGGTTATTCTTAATGTTAATATTTATTTCTGGACTTAGAGATACAGACTTAGTAAACAATGGGAAAACAATGATGATAAGGATAGATTTTCAGCTCCAGAATACAGAGGAGATACTCTAACTTTTCGTAGTGTATTAGTTTGCTAGGGCTGCCGTAACACAATACCACAGATTCCGTGGCTTCAACAACAGAAACTTATTTTTCATGGTTCTGGAGGCTGGAAGTCCAAGATCACTAATACTATATACAAATGTATACATATACACAAATGTAAATATATATATATAAATATATATAAACATATATTTACATTTGTGTATATGTATACATTTGTGTATGTATATATATATATACACTTTTGTATATATATACATACACAAATGTATGTGTGTGTGTGTATTTGAGAGTCTGCCAAATTTTATGATGCTCATTATCTACTACCATTTGTTTCTGATTTTTGTTGGAATGAATAACATTTCTAGAAGACATTGTTGATACAATTACACAAATTTTACAATTGTATGGTAGAAATGAGATCCTGGACATTGAGTAACTGTATGATTAGATGATGTTGAGTACCATAATTTTTCTGAACTGAGTTTTAGATAGAAGAACTGGAAGGGAAGTCTTCCTAAATACAAAAAAGAATAGACATGGATTCCAGCTTACTACTTACCAGCTGCGTAACCAGAGGCAAGTCACTTCATCTTTCTTAGGTCACTTATATAAAATTTGAGATGGGGATGATGGTTTTTATAACAGTGTCAACAGGAAAGGTAAGTGATAAGATGTATGTGAAAGTATCTAGCACAGTACTAGGAAGCTCATTAGATGCCAGTTGATCCCAGGGAGTTCCTGGCAAAGTTGGAACACATTTCAAAAGATTGGCTTTTAGCAAAAGCTTTGGAAGAAGGAGGAAATAATTAGATAAAATTAAGCCCCAGATATTTTGGAAAGGTTTCTTGATAATTTTTATATGAAAGAAACAGGAAAAAGAATTATAAAATAGGAGTGATTGT